TTCTGGCGCTCCCCAACAACCAGGAGAAGCAACATGGAAATATCACATTCGAAAATTATTTACAATAAAAACTTTGGATACTGTTGAATCTGATCAAAGTACATCAGAACTCAATAGAACTCTTGGCGCATGGGATATAATTATGATTGGTATCGGAGGAATTATCGGCACGGGTATATTCGTATTAACAGGTAAAAATAATGATTTCCTTAATAAAAATAAATAATTAGTCCGGAGCGTTAGCGAAGGACTATATATGTTTTATGCGCTTTGATGTCCCGATGTCCGCCCGCTTGTTCTCATGAGTCGATGTTTTTTGGCACGCATTGTTTCACTGCCGATCTATTATGAATTACTTTATCACGTGAATTTAAAATTGGGCCGTGTTTTTAACGCTCCGGACTTGCAAACGGTCCCTGTTACCTAGTATATACATATACACATATTAATTATTTAATTGTAATAGGACAAGCGGCAGCAAACAATGCAGGACCGGCAGTTTTAATTTCATTCATAATTTCTGGATTAGCATCAGCCTTTGCAGCTTTATCATATTCTGAAATTGCTTCGATGATCCCAGTTGCTGGATCCGCGTATACTTATACTTACGCAACATTAGGCGAGCTTTTGGCTTGGATCATAGGATGGGATCTCATTTTAGAGTATTTTTTTGGTAAGTAATAAGTGGAAGCTTTTATACAACTTGGCTATAATTTTTAACCCAAAAATCCTTCTTTAATTAACTAACTTTAGGATCAGCATCCATAGCCGTAGGTAAGTTGCTTGCGTTTAAAACCACTGATATGCTTCGTGCCGCAGTGAAATAACCACTTTTTATATATATATATATTTCTTTAGGCTTTTCAGGGTACTTTGTGCACTTCTTTGAAAACGCGTTTAATGTTCACTTTTCTCCTTCTTGGACGGCCGCTCCATTATTATATAATGAAACCACTAGTGCCTTCGAAAAAGTACCTGGCTCATATTTTAATGTGCCGGCATTTGCAATAATAATATTTTTAACAATAATACTTATTATTGGCATAAGAGAATCTGCCAATTTTAATACAGGGATTGTGGGCATCAAAGTTCTTATTCTCATATTATTTGTTATAGCCGGTAGTACAAAGATTACCAATGCAAATTACAAGCCTTTCGTACCACCAAATGAAGGAAAGTTTACGGAATTCGGTTTCACTGGAATACTTTCCGGTGCAACTGTTGTGTTTTTTGCTTATATCGGATTTGATTCAGTTTCAACTACTGCTCAAGAAGTAAAAAATCCTCAAAGAAATTTGCCTATTGGAATCATAGGAAGTCTGGTAATTTGCACTGTTTTATACATGGCTGTTTCGTGAGTATTGCATAAAAAGTCTATTTTTATTGATTTCGTTGATTTTTTTTAAAAAAATAAAAGGAGAGATTTTTTTTCGGTAATTAATTAATTTAAATCTTCTTTTTATTTTTTTTAAGTACCGTTTTGACTGGGATAGTTCCTTTTCGTGAGTTGGATGGTCCAGCTCCAATCTCGACGGCTGCCGAGAAAATTAATATGAAATGGCTTGGAATCGTTGTGGATCTTGGGGCCATGCTTGGGTTAATCTCCGGAAATCTCGTGACACTTTTAGGACAAACGCGTATTTTTTATTCGATGGCACAGTAAGTCGCGCTCAAAAAAAATAAAATGAAATAAAATGAAAATTCACCCTTCAATTAATGAAAAAAAAAATTATATTTTATTCCCCTTACTAGCGACGGTTTAATCCTTAAAAGTTCGTCCAAGATTCATCCAAGATTTAAAACGCCTTACATCATAACAGCATTCACCGGTATCTTTTGCGCAATAGCTTCAGCGCTACTTCCCATAGACATCCTGACACAATTAACGTCGGTTGGCACACTATTTGCATTTCTTTTGGTAAATGTAG